GTACTCCAGTCTGGGTGACAGAGACTCTATCTCTTAAAAAAAAATCCAGAACAACCAGGAACTGGGCCAAAGCGTAACTCAGCCTTCCAGTTTCTGCTAAGGTTTAAAGACCTAATAAACCTGGGAATAGATGCCACCCCCTACCAACTAATTAGCTTTCTATAAAGAAGCCAACAGGGTCTATGGGAGACTGAAAACAATCTCAAGATTTAAACAAGAAAAGCCATAAGACTTTCACCTACACTAGCCACACCCTAATGTCCTGCATTCTTGTTTTGTAGTAAAAGACATTTAGCTCTCCTTACTGTGACAGATGAAGGAAAGATTCAGCGAGGCCTCCTTATTCTCCTTTCCTTACAAGCAAGGAAGAAAGAACTGGATGTACTGTGCTAACTCATCTTCGTCTAAGTAGGCTTGGCGTATTTCAACCCTTGCTCATTGAATTCACAGAATTGATGTTTACTGGCTAATTCTGATATATAATTTAGGAGTATTTCCAGTTTACAAGATTATGACACAAAATTTTACCTAGAATGGCATAACAAGAATGGGTAATTCACTGACAGCACCCAACCAAACATTTAATTCTGGTAACATCACCACTCTGGTAATCTAAGAGCATTATGGTTTAACTTCAGTAACTTAAACATAGATCATGAAAGTTATGCAAATCAGGTAACCCCTTTAAAAGAAGTTTCCTCTTCCCTATAATGGAAATAACAAGTATCTATTTCCCCACAATGGAAACAAGTATCTATTCTCATAAGCCTTTAGGAAGAACCCATAATACAATCTTTCAAAAATATAACCAAAACCAAGTATGTGACAAGCACTGGACTAGATACTTTATATATAATAATAACGATGTGGATACATGTTATTACTGGTTAGATACAAAGCCTACCCCCAAGAAAAATCACAAAAAAATTCATAAAGGAGTATTTACCAATGAAGGAAAATTATAATCAATTCCTTTCTTAGCCAATTTTTTCCTGAGTAATTTTTCCTTCTTTTTAAAGCGCTTCTCCATCTCTAGCCTTTGTGTAAGTGTCCGCTTCTGATTATACCGTTTCACTGCTGGATGTGACGGCTGTTTAAATGGAGTATTCCAACCTTTAAAAAGTTCTTTATGTACTTTTTCAGGTGGTATAAGACAACCTATTTTTAAAAAGGAAAAAAGAAAGTTTTCAAACAAGTGGCTGGGAAGGGATTTTATTGTTAACATTAGAGTTTCTCCAGTGCCATTCCTCACGTCACAATCAAAATGATGAGGCTAATCTCATTTCAAAGTGACAGATGAGCCAATTCTATCCTAGTGGAGTTAGTTAATGCTTTAAGACAGAAGCAACAAATGCTGCAGTTCAGTTCCCTTTCTGCTATTTTTCACAAGTCAAACACAGCACACCACTGACCTGACACTCATGGTCGACACCGTTCAGGTCACCTGCTCAGCCCATTTCCTCCTGGCAATGGCCATGCTTTTAATGTGAGAACGAACCCGTGACCTCAAGCAGGATACTCAGATTCTCTCTCACAGCCATGGGAACTGGGATGGACATGCTCCCTCGGCAGCCCTGGCAGCTGTTTGGGCAGATGCCTGTGAACTTGGCACCGGGATGGCCACACACCACCATGGGCACAGGGCCGCCAGAAACTTAGCTCCACCTTCCATGGGCCTTGAGACCTGGATGGGGTGCTCAGGGTACCCTCTGGGAATGCAAAGTTGGAGGCTCTGCCTGCTCCTATCTGCAGGATGAACTTCTACCTGGGGTTGTCTCTCCTCTGCTCCTTACGGCTTCTCTCCTGTGGAGGCACTGCAGCCCGTGCCACTCGGTTAGGCTGATCCTGAAATGTGATTCCTGACCTGTGATGTTAACCTATCTAGAACCTGTGAACAGGCTCCCCACTGCCCTCAGAATAAATTCTAAACTCCCTAACTTGGAAGGCCTTTAATAATCTGACCTGCAGCCTATTTCTTCTTTTCTTGCTACTTTTCCTCACGTTCCCCTCACAGCCAGTTAGCTACCTCTGGTTTGGCATTTGCTGTCCCCTCAGCCAAGAATGGTTCAATCTTCATGCCCATCCCCTTCACCTGGCTTGCTCCTATTTAATCTTCAGGTTTCAATTTAAATGATACTTTCCCAGGGAAGCCTTCTATAGCCCATTAAAAATGGGTCAGCTGCTCTTCCTCTGGACCCCCACAGTAACTTGTCCAATTCCACGTTAGTGTTAAAAACAGCTCTCATGCTGAAAGATTTTAAAATTCCAATCAGAATCTGCAGGACAATACGCTGAAATCCTTGCATGATTCTGTAAGAGAATCATCCCAGAGATTAAGTGGCATGTCCAAGCAGCTAAGCCATCTGCCCTTCCCGCCACAGTCACCCACCAGCAGTAGGCATCCATGCAACCCTACAGGTAAGAGAAGAGCACTTACACTGCAAGAGTCTTTCACCAAAAAGGTAGTTGTTCATTGTTTCAGCAACTATCCTGGCAACATCATCAGACTCAAACTCCACAAAGGCATAGCCTTTGCTATTTCCAGTCTGCAATGGAAAACCCACCGTGAAAAGTAGAACGATTAAAATCGAATGCAACATCAAACTCTTAAAATGCCATTAATTTAAATAATGTACATTAGCACTTTATCAAATAATATCATGACACCTTTAATTATAACTTTTTCACATATTCCTGGGGACTGTTATGGGAAAAAGAAAAGATCCAAAATAGTTTGAACATGCAGGTGATTTTCTGGTATTTCTGTAATTGTGTTTACATATGAGAAATACATAATTCCTACGGCTGGAATTTATCCAATAACAAAACCCCATCATATAAAAAAGTCTTCAACTGAAAAGTAGCCTGGCTTAACAGAGTGGGAGTCAGGGGGCTCATTTCTAGCACCAGCTGTGTCAATACTGAGCAACTTTAGGACACTTCCAACTGAATCTGTTATCTTCAATGGAGGGATTCTGGTAAAAATTGAAGTGCCTGAAAATCCATTTATAATCTCAATTCTCAAAGGGAAAGATGGTGCAGCAAAAGAGACATTGTGAAATCCAACTCAATGTACCACCAATGTAAAGTGATACAAACATTTTGAAAAGTGATTTGAAAATACATGTCAAAAAAAAATAATATCTTTATCCAGTAATCCCAGAATGTTGGAAATACCAAGCAAACAGTCCAAATTGGAGAGTGATGGCCTTTACTATGCAATAATGCTGGAAATG